TTTCAATCTGACCATTATGTTGGAGTATTTTAGGGTCACTTCAGTTGAGAGGGGCTGATTGACGCTCATAATGCTGGCACTTTACTCTCACATATCGCCTCCATTCTTCTTTAGTTCTGTTTTAAATCAATGGTCAAGATTTTAGGCATCAGTACAAAAAGACCTCCACTCTGAATTTTCATCCTTCTGACTAAGAATGAGTCATCTGCCCTGGTTTCGAGTGCTGCAGACCTTCTAAGCTTTATGATTCTCCAAATCTATTACAGAAAGCCACATCAGATTCTTTAGAAAAAGCTCGATAGGCACAGAAATGTCAGTCCTAATCATTAAATATCTTTTTTTTTCTCTCTCTCACTGCAGTGTTCTGTGTATTCAGAGTATTTGTGTATTCCAGGTAGAAAGCCTTGGTTTCCTGTGCTTGAGCAAACCATCCTGCTGGTGAGATGGGCTTTTTTTTTTTTTTTTTTTTAAAGGCGCAATACATCTGCTTTAGTTTGTTTCAAGTCCATCTGGTATAAATTCCCAGTGCCAGGGGGCAGTGGGAGCTTAAGCTGAATATTGATTAGACCAGTCTGAAATATTCACCTCCTTAAAGCAGCTGACACCACACGCACCCTCAAGATTAAGTGAAAAAGAAGCACACAGAAGCAACTTAAGTTAGCTTCTGGAGCGCCCTTTACAGATTTGCATTATGGTAGCTCTGACCCCTGTAGTGAGGAGTGTCAAGATGTATGCAATCTGCAACACATCTAAAGAGGAGCCGATAATAGGGGGGAAAAAAGATGTTCAGAGACATGTCCGATCTTTTATTCAAAATGAATCGCAATTTTGAGCTGTTGATAGATAGAGACGGGAAAAAAATGATAGAAAAGTGCTTTGACGGTGCCTTTTCAGCTGTTGTGAAAGGTGTTAAATGGGATGTAGTTTGTTTTTGAGGGAATTTCAGGGGGAAAAAGAAGACAGACAGGGTCTATTGTTGTTTTCCTTTTGTGTGTCAGTAAAAAGGAACATTCTGAAGTTGTATCAAGTTCCATTAAAGCCCAATCTTGGATTGCTGTTGTCTCCCATACAGCCACATAATAGCAGAGGCGTACTGTAAATTAAGAGCTAAGAAAAGCTAATGTTACCTTGAAGTACTAACACGGAGTGAGGTGGTGCAAATGAAGAACATCTTAAGACATGCCGCAGGAGTGATGAATTCTTCACATTATGTTATTTTATATGTGGTATGGTGTTCCTTGGCCCTCATTGCTGTACTTTTTCATCTGCTCTCCACTGTAGGCATCCATTTGTTGAGCAATTTCAAAATTCCCAGATGCTGCAGTTACCATTAAGGAGGAAATCTGCCAATGTAGTTCTGTCAAAAAAATGTTTTTTCCTATTGATATATTGCACCATTAAACCTCTCACCAATTCTTTCCTTTCACACATTGCAGTTTTAGCTCAGTCAGAGCCATGAATCTGGTTTTGGTTTAGATGAACCTCCTCAGAGCAACAGAGGAACATCCAGCAACTGGTGAAATCTGCCTTTACTTTCCTGACAGAAAAAAAAAATGTATTTATTACTTGGACAGTAAACTAGTTGCTGCTTCTCCTTACACTCGATTTCAGATGAAGAGTGGACTGAACAGTCTGTGCTCTGAGTTTTGACTGAAAGCGACTCATCTTTGTCTTATGTAGTTCATATGTTTTTCCCTAAAACGCTGCAGCTCATGACGCAGTATCACAATACTTAGCACAGTGATGATAATAATCACGTCTGGTGACGCCACACACTCCTCCACCAGTAACTGGCCTTCCTGCCATCCCACAGCTGCTGTAGTAAGCTGTTGTTTTAAAGACAGCTGTTCGTCATGTCTCCTTTGTCATAAGCTGATTAAATTCCATCCATCCATTATCTATACACCGCTTTATCCTCACGAGGGTCGTGGGGGGCTTGAGTCTATCCCAGCTGACTTAGGGTGAAGGCAGGTTCACCTGGACAGGTCACCAGTCTATCACAGGGCTACACTTAGAGACAGACAACCAAGCACACTCACATTCACACCTACGGACAATTTAGAATCACCAATTAACCTCAACATGTTTTTGGACTGTGTGGGAGGAAGCCGGAGAACCCGGAGAGAACCCACGCTGCACGGGGAGAACATGCAAACTCCACGCAGAAAGATCCCAGTGCCCCCACCAGGACGCGAACCGGCAACCTTCTTGCTGCGAGACAACAGTGCTAACCACCGAGCCACCTTGCAGCCGTGTTTTTGATTAGATGCCTAATTTAGTTGACTTTACAACCTCTAACCTACTAATGTCTGGTTTTAATGGTGTATTAAGTTGTTTTAGGCCTTTTTGACTTGAGCACTAATGGTTGAAAGAGAGTTGGGACGATTAAATATGTGTTTGGAAAGAAACTGAGCAGTTCATATCATAGCACTGCGTGTAATATGAAAGGTGTCATTCAGTTATTACCTGACTCTGCAGTTAAAATGCGGCTCTTCCACGTGTTTGAAGCTTTTACTTCATTTTCTGGGTAACCAGGGTGACAAGTCCTGCCCCATCTGATATCTGATTGGTTAGCTGAAAAGGACAGACAGCTGGAAAGCAATACAATGAATGTCAAAGATGCATTCATAAGAAACATGTTTGTGAGACATTTTCTTCATAATGTAATTAAGAATGCAGCTTAGTTGTCCAGAAACATAGTTTTGGGAAGACAGGTCACAAATAAAGGTTAGCTGGTCCATAATGGAGCATCTGCAGAGCTCACTTTTCCCCGCTGGTAGAGACCAAAACAGAGCTAAAATGAGAGTGAGCATGCTGGATGTGTGAAATTAAGTAATATTATGCTATGCAAGTGTTGTATTTACAGCCTGTTCCCTTTGCCAGTGCCAATAGATGAGTTACCAATGTAAAAACAGAAAGTTTTCATTATCGAAATCTGAAAATAGATGATGTTTTAAGTGGAAAATGGTATAAATGTCTATGCATGACAATGAAAAAACTATTTTTCGCCGTGTTGGTGACTGATTAGTTGTTAAGTTTAATCATTTTCTCAACTTTTATTACACCGCATCTATTTATATTTCATACATTTTTTGGGTTTGGTTTTTTTTGCACAAACATTTCAGCTATCGGTGTATTTTCAAATGTGCAAAATCAAGGTCATTTTTTAAACCGATAGGCTACATCTTATACGCAAAGTCACAACATGAAATTGCCAAAAATATTTATCAGCTATTACTGGCCTCAATAAAGAAAGCTTCTTGCAGCAGGTCGTTCTGAGTCCTGACAGGCTCTGGCTGGAAATGTCACGTTGTTATACAGCTGTCAAGCCAGAGTCAGTAATGAGGAAGATGAAATTGCTCAGACCGGAGTGCTCCAAAAGGTGATGCTAGTCACACGGGGGGTCAGCTTCATGATTTTTCTTCTCTGTCACCTTCTACCACTGACCAAAACCAACTGCTACTGTCAAACTATGCTCCCGCCAATTACTGCTCCGGTTTGAGACAGTATTGTTGGACATAATAATGGGAATGCCTCGCCTAGCTTGCCAAGCGGTAATTGTTGAGCTCTAAATGGACGCTGGATTGTTCTGAACGGCTGTTTGGACGTCCAAAACATGGTGAAGCAGGACAAATGGTGCCTTTTGTGTTTCTCTTTCTTTACATCAGTTTTTTAATTTTTTTTCCCTCAAAATAGCGTTCATGGCTGGCTTTGCGTGTCTAAGCGCCATGTGGTTTGGCTCACTTGAGGGAATCTCAGAAATTAAACACATGGTCCATTACTACAGCCCCTTTGTAGAATAAAGGGATTAGTATAACAAAAGCCAAATGTTTTCCATCTTTGTAGCATGTGGGTGAAATAAAACTCAATTTCAACTGTCAATGAGAAGATAAAGATAGCAAAATAAAAGGGTAGCGAGAATGTGAGACATCGAGCTCGGAAACAAAATCCTCCTTCTTGTGTCCCTGCAGAATGAACCAGGCTCCCACCACAGGCTTCGAGGAGGATGTGGGAGGCAGAACAACTCATCATGTCATGTATCCAGAAAGTGCCATAGACCTGGACAACACCACCAGTCTGGTCCTGATCCCTTTCAAGACTCTGGACCTGCAGTGGATTGTCAGCGCTTTGACCACTGGCACTATTAAACAGTAAGTTACTGAACATTAAAGCTGCACTAATCGATATTTTTATATTCACCCATCCATCCATTATCTTCCGCTTATCCGGGGTCGGGTCGCAGGGGCAGTAGGCAGAGCAGGTCATTCCAGACTTCCCTCCCCCCGGCAACACTTTCCAGTTCTGCCTGGGGGATCCCGAGGCGTTCCCAGGCCAGCCGAGAGATATAATCCCTCCAGTGGGTTCTGGGTCTGCCCCGTGGTCTCCTCCCAGGTGGCTCTCCTTTTCCTGTTGTTAATCGAGGTCTTCCTAATTGCTCTTTGTCTGGTCCCTCCCCCCAGGACCAATTTGCCTTGGGAGACCCTACCAGGGGCTAATGCCCCGGACAACATAGCTCCCAGGATCACAGGGACACTCAGACGTGTCCACCGCGATAAGGTGGCGATTCATTGGGGGGCATTTTTATATTGAGAGTGGATCAAATGATAATGTGTAACCGAAAACATGTTGCTCTCAGTGACAAATTGATAGAGTTATGACCCAACTGCAGTTCTCCTCAGCTCCTCAGACTGTTTTAGTGTCTTGCATGTCACTGTTTGCTTTTTTTGGCCCACAACATGTTTTGGTTCCTCGTCTCCAGCTGCAGAAGGCAAAGTTCTGATAAACCAGTTCTATGATGCCTGACCAGCACCAACTGACAGACAAAGGTAGCAACTAGCCAGGGAATATATTTAGCATGTAGCAGCAACAGTCATATATCTCAAAGCGAGGTTAAAAGACGATGAATTTTGCATTTGCATGCAGATGGTTCTCTGTGTCTGCTGGATGTGTGAAAATGCAACAGTTTGCTAACATGTTGGAGATAAGCTTAATATTGTGAT